TAATGCTGCTTTTAAAGCCTCCTGCCCAAGCACCCTCCCGAAGGGCAAAAATAAACCCCAGTGGTGGTAAATCTTGAGATTTCAGCACTGAGGAAGAACAGCCGGAGGCTCTTCAACCATGCTAAGCAAACAGGTCTTTGGAAACCATACAAAGACGCACTCAAAGTTTTCAAGAAGGCCATAAAGAGGGCAAAACGCGAATCTAGGCAAAACTTCTGCAACAACATAGAAGAGAACTCTGAAGCCAACAGGCTGAGGAAAGTTCTCTCGAAATCCTCTTCGAGTATGAACTCTATCCAGAAGCCTGACGGTGACTGGACGACATCATGTAACGAAATGCTGGAGGTCCTTATGATCACTCACTTCCCAGGCTGCTCGGACGACACCTCCGGCTTTTCGCCCGGTCCTAGGACCTACTTGTCTCTGGGTGATACCGTTAGGTACGTCGTAAGTAAGGAGAGGGTGGAATGGGCTTTAATGTGCTTCCAGCCCTACAAATATCCGGGCTTTGACGGAATTTTTCCCGCTCAACGACAGGAAGCTAAGCTACTGTGGCCCCTGATTTCTCAGATTTTTACATCCTGCCTAACCCTGACTCACATACCACATGAGTGGAAAAAGGCAAAAGCTGTATTCTTACGAAAAGGCAAGGCCGCTCATGTGAAACCGAAGGATTTCAGGCCTATAAGCCTCACTTACAAATTACAACCTATCCCCGAACCAGCATGCATATTCTAAAGGAAAATGGAACATGGATACCGCGCTCCATGAAATAGTATCGACGACTGAAAAACGATTAGCCTTAAAGGAATACAAGCTCGGAGTTTTTCTCGATATCGAGGGTGCTTTCAACAACGTCTACCCGAAGTCTGTTGTTAACTCCCTTCTCATGGCGGGGGTGCAGCGGGGTCTGGTAGATTTTGTTGGGCACCTTCTTGAAAAGAGAACTATTCTATGAGAACTGGGGGATGGTTCCATCACAAAGTATGTGACCAGAGGCACCCCCCAAGGGGGCGTTCTCTCCCCTGTGCTCTGGAATCTAACAGTGAACACCCTACTTCTAAGCCTAAAGGGCACCGGTTGTCAAGTCACAGCGTACGCTGATGACATAGCAATCGTAGCAACGGACAAACATCTTCAGGTCCTGAGTGAGTTACTGCAAAACGCACTCGGTCTGGTAAACATCTGGACCAAGGAATGTGGACTTAGCGTCAGTCTTACCAAAACAGAAATGGTACTTTTCACAAGGAACTATAAAACTCCCTTATTTAAACCTCCCACCCTAAACGGAGTGGCACGTACTCTCTCAACCGAGGTCAAATACCTTAGAATTATTCTAGACAAAAAACTTGACTGGAAGAGAAACATTGAAGGGCCAATACCGCCCTCTATGTCAGTAAAACGGCTATAGGCAAAAAATGGGGAATAAAACCACACATAGTACACTGGATGTACACAGCTGTGATAAGACCCATCCTTTTCTACGGGGTCACCGTATGGTGGCCGGCGCTAAACAACACTTTGTCCAGAGCCAAGATGGAACGGGTGCAGAGGACGGCTGCCATGCTAGTCACGGGAGCACTGCCCACTACTACACCTACCAAATCTCTGGAAATAATGTTAAATCTTTCACCTGTGGATCTCTACGGAAAATTTCGGGCCAGCTGCAGTGCGGCCAGGTTAAATACAATCCAGTCGTGGAGAGACCTCAGATTCGGACACGCAAAAGTACTTAAAGCTCTACCGGATAATCTACGACAGATATATTATACCACTTCTCTACTCTGCTTAGACAACAAATTCTCCACAAGGATCCCAGAGAAGGACGAATGGGAAGGGGCCACAGACCTGAACCCAGGGTCTACGGCCATATATACATATGGTTCCAAGCTTAACAAAAGAGTGGGTAGCGGGATCTACTCTGACGAACTCGCGCTAAACATCACTTTTCGCTTGCCGGACCATTGTAGTGTTTTTCAAGCAGAATTAAACGCCATAATGGGGGCGGCACGGTGGGTTATAACCTCCGCCCCTCCAGGACGGCCTAATGCTATCTATTCTGACAGCCAGGCTGCTATCAAATCTCTCAATTCTAACGGAACAACGTCCAAAGTAGCCATAGAATGCAGAAAGATTCTCAACCTGCTGCATCTAAATGCTCCTTAACTGTTGTATGGGTCCCTGGACATAGGAACATTCCTGGCAACTGCCTAGCTAACGAGCTGGCAAGGAGAGGGACGGAAATATCTGAAGTCAATTCTGCTCAGAATGCCGGCATACCTCTAACCTCCTGCAAACACAGACTAAAGGCGGAACTCGTCGAGGAGGTAAATTTCAGGTGGGCTGTGGCAACCACCAGGCAAATTTGGCTAAAGATTGATGTAAATCGATCCATAGCTCTTACCCGGCTGGACCGCTCCTCTCTCAGATTAGTAGTCGGGNCGGCATACCTCTAACCTCCTGCAAACACAGACTAAAGGCGGAACTCGTCGAGGAGGTAAATTTCAGGTGGGCTGTGGCAACCACCAGGCAAATTTGGCTAAAGATTGATGTAAATCGATCCATAGCTCTTACCCGGCTGGACCGCTCCTCTCTCAGATTAGTAGTCGGGATAATCACCGGACACTGCCTGATGGGCACACATGGAAAAAGGCCAGGATACCCCACCAACGATTTTTGTCGCAGTTGCAGAGATCAGGAAGAGGTGGAGACCGTTGAACACTATCTCTACCATTGTCACGCCTTGGCCAACACGCGCAACCGATTCTTCTACAAGTACTTTCTACATTGTTTGGCCGATTTGAACCCGGCGAACGTCCTCGAATTTTTGTGCTATATAAAAGCACTCGGTGGTTCAATTACTAAGGAAGGGAAAGAAACAAATGGCTTCGGCCAATGGTATCACAACGGGCTTTTTCAACCCACGTGCGCTCCGCGCTCTGCGCGGGGCTGCCATTCCAACCTAACCTAACCTATAGGTTAAGCACTCCTTCAATGTTATAATAATTTATAAATTTTTTAAGTAATAAAAACTATGACTTAATTCGCGAATGCGAATGTGAAAAATATGGCATTCGAAACATCCCTATTAAATACACAAAAACCGTACCAGACTGTCTCGCTTAGATTTCGGAATGCTTTCACATTGGGAGGTTAGCTTACTGCCAATATAGAAGTATTACATATATGGGCGCATGCAATAGTAGAGAACGTATATGAATGAGAAGGCGCATTTTCTGTGTGAACTAATTGTCCAAATTGTACCAATAATTTTTCCGTGCCACCACAATTCGACGAAATTTACCATAGTTCAAAGCAAAATGAAAAATAGGAACGAAAAAGGAAAGAGGAACAGAAATATAATAAGCACAAGGCAGAGGGCATGCTTGCGGAGGCAGGCGTGTACCATAGTTTAAAGCAAAATGAAAAATAAAAACGAATAAAAAAAGAGAAACACAAATCTAATAAGTACTAGGCAGAGGGGATGCTTGCGGACGCAGGCGCGTGCTCGGATCAAAACAAACTCTAAAATAAAAATGGAAGACAGAACGACAAGTGTAGAGAAAGAAGCGGGAAACGGGGGAGCGGGCATTTGTACATTTTCTTGCTTGACGAAAATATGATATTTGCGCGAAATCGATTTGCTGATTGCAAATTGATTTTTGCAAACATGTATGCATTTTTCTATTTCAGCTAAGTTGATAAGATTTTCTAAGGCAATTTTATTGACTTTTTTCCGCAATTTTCTAGAGTCATGTAAAATGGACCCTTTTATAAAAACTATTTTATTATAATTTAATTAAACATATGTATGTATGTATATATTTACTTATGCACTTACATATATATACGTACATACATATATCTATGTATTGTACCAATTCATGAAATTGCATTAACGTATGCATGCGCAATCGGCTCATTTTTTCATTTCTATTTGCCGACGCAACAATTTTTGGTTGCTAACAAATTTATGTACAAATAACATACTTACTTATGTACTATACATACAATTACTTATGTGCAAACAAGTATATACATAGGTATGTTTATATGTATGTATCTTTCAGTGAAACTGCAAATTGAAGTTCACAAATTGAAGTTATTTTAAGTAATATTTTTATTTTATTTTTGAATGTAAGTTCTTAAACTATGCACATACAGTAATATTCTTAAACAAGTTTAAAAATCTGAAAGTAAGTAAAAAATATAACAAAAATAAATCCTGAAATGAAACAAATTAAAATTGTTTTTCTACATTTTTTGGTTGGGCACGAATTACGAATAGGCCTTCTCATATGAAGACAAACGTACAAATCGTCGCCTGGGTAAAAGATAGTCGTATGTTATGCACGTACGTATGACGCTTACGGCAATCATTTACCCAGGCGACGAAATGCATTGATTGCACTGCACGTGTTAACTTCAAAGTTGTTTTTTCGAAAAGTTATTTATATTGAGAAAAAATGTGCATTACCATTTTTCACTGCTATACTCGTATTATATGTAAATAATGAGGCATATTCATAGTTAAAATAAAGTCGACACTAAAGTTAGTTACAGCGACAACCGATTGACTGTCAACCAGTGCGGACGTGTTTTTTAATCGCTCCGCCGAGAAAGTAGTAATAATTCACGTAAAGCAAAGAAAAAAAACAGAACCAACGCGAAAAGACAATACTAGGCATAAATAAACTTTCTGCTTATTTGCCTATAATTGTAAATTACTTTTTCAGAATTTTCGCAATGCCGCGAGAAATTCAAATAAATGTGCCAACATACAATAAAATAAAAGCAGCTCCGGCCCACCGCGCTTACCGAATAGTAGTGAAACAAGCACCAAGTGCAGTGAAATAAACCTTGCCGTAACAGAAGCTGACCAAAAGCATTCAGCTGATCGACGAAATGCTTATCTTTCGTTCGTTTCCCCCACAAACATTGCTGTTCGCGATTAATCGTTCTCTCCCTCCCCCCAAACACCTTGGCATGCACAGTCGCCAATGTCTCTGGTAGACCAAGATGTTCTAACGCAACAACAAAGCACTAGCTTAGCAACAAGCACAGTAACAACGGTAAGCGCAGCTCTCACAACAAAGACTACAACCACGACTTCAGCAATGACAGCGGTTTCACAACGCAGTTCTCCCACACCTGCACAAACGGAAATTTCTGCACCAGCCCAAGCCAAGCAACGCAGCTTAGCGCAAGTTGACCTACTTAATCCAACAACCCGTACATTGACTCAAACGGGTATTGATAGGTATATACAAGTCAAACGAAAATTAAGCCCACAGCAGCAAATAATTGCAAACCCATCAAAAATTGCAAAAACGAAAACCACTGACATTAACCCTCTACTGGGAAATAAGTTTGCGATTCTGGACAATGAATGTGACAAAGAGCCGAATGAAGTTTCTAAAGCCAAACCCAAACCGCCCCCAATTTATTTACGAGAGCAAAACTGTAGTGAGCTCGTGAATAAATTAACTCAGCTTATTGGAGACAATACGTTCCACGTAACATCAGTTACCAAGGGCAATATTAAAGCGACCAAACTTCAGATTCTAACTGAAGAAAATTACCGGTTGGTAACCAAACACCTTAATGAAGATAAGAAAAACTTCTATACGTACCAGCTCAAAAACAGCAAAGGACTGCAAGTAGTAATAAAAGGTACCCACTGCTGATATTGCTCATGCTCTAGAGAAGGCAGGATTTTCTGTTAAAAATGTTGTCAATATTATCAACAGAGCAAAAATCGCTCAGCCTATATTTAAGGTAGAACTTAAGCCAGAAACAAAGCCAATGAATAAATACGCAGTGCACCCAATCTACAATCTACGATACCTTCTACACCGAAGAATAACAGTGGAGGAGCCGCACAAGCGAAACGGTCCCGTACAGTGCACAAATTGTCAAGAATTTGGGCTCACCAGAACATGCTGTACCTTGCGCCCAGTGTGTGTTGCCTGTGGCGACCTTCACGCTTCTGCTTCTTGCAAGGCTATCAAAGATGATGTGGCTGTAAAGAAATGCAGTAATTGCGGAGGTAACCACACCACCAATTATAGGGGATGCCCTGTATACAAAGACTTAAAGTCTCGCATGAATCAGCGCAACACAGCCGTACGCTCTTCCACCACTCCAACTAGCTCTTATACATACCAACACCTCACGCCATCAACCACTACATTAGGAGCCTTTTTTGCCAATACGCAGCGAGTTCCCAACGTTTCTTTTGCCGACGCGTTAAAACTACAAACGCAGCCAAGCACGGCGAAATCAAACTCTAATCAAGAAACATTTGCAAAAATTTGCTTATGGAATGCTAACGGTGTACAACACAGATGCTATGCTACTGTCCGAAACACATTTAACAAATATATATAATTTCTCCATACCTGGATTCAAATTCTATGCCACAAATCACCCAGATGGTAAAGCTCATGGAGGCACAGCGGTGCTGATTAGAAATCGTCTAAAGCACAATATTCTACTACCATATGCTTACGAAACCGCGAACGAGACTTGAATCTATCGGCTATTTATTGCCCTCCGCGATGTTTAATTTCTGAAAATGACTTTAAAGACTTCTTTGATAGCCTGGGTAATAGATTCCTGGCAGGAGGCGACTTCAACGCAAAGCATACGTACTGGGGATCACGCCTTATTAACCCAAAAGGGCGGCAGCTATATAATACCATTATAAACAGGCACAATAGACTAGAGGTCACATCCCCTGGTAAACCTACTTACTGGCCTACCGATATAAAGAAGATACCAGACCTAATAGATTCGCAATTACAAGAAACATATAGAAATAAGAAACAAATAGAAATAAAAACATAG